TTTCTACATCAGATTGCATGCTTTATATTTCTTTTATTTTTCTATCATTTTAATTAATAAAACTATTTATTAGGAAGAAACTGGTCGGCGCATTACATTGACTTGATTTGGACATTGTCGATTTTGGTTTTCACCAACAAAGATTAATCGCCTTTGCTGCCACTGTGGTTTTTGGTCAAAGTGCAATCCATATTGGGTTTTCATGTTGGTGGCTTCCATTTTCAACATTGGAAATTGGACTCAGGTAATGATATGATCCCAAATTGCCGACTATTCACGTCACAATTACTTGACAAAGAAGCTATCAAAGTTGGGAAGAAGAAGGGCAGAATTTGGCTAAGTCAAAATCCGTGTTCAGGGTACATACTTTGGAGGCATGGTTCTCTCAATGTGCTTGGTGAAAATTCAAGTTTAAGGGTTTGTTTTGCAGATCAAGTTACCATCTTTCCAATGGTATGCTTTATGGAGCCAGATGATGTCATTAAGGTTGTTTTCCAAGGCCTCAAAGTTGCTACCTCAAAACTGGAAAACTGCCAGAAAATGGCTAAGGCAGAAAACTGTTTTGTGAAGCCTACTTTGGAGCTCAATTCAAGGAGAATGGATCTGATTCGAGACCTAAGTCTTCTACAACATGAAACTAGGTATGTTTATCTACCAAGGGAAGGAATCGGATGAAAGATCGGAGTTCTGGAAGGTCTCGAACAAAAGGCGCGAAGTTAGTACGAAAGCTGCCTTTTGACTGTTTTGCGGGCAGCTTACTTGTGCTTCAAGAAAGGAAGTTTATGGCCGAATTTAGAGTCCTTTTTAGAGTTTGTTTTTACCTTAATTGTTTCCTTGTTCATCTAGATTTGTATTAGGTTTTATTTGCCTTTAAATACCGTTCTATTTACGTTGTAAAACATAAGACTTTGATTAATCGAAAAACCTTTGGCTTTGTGCAAGTTGCGACTTGTTTGAGTTTGGTGGATTCCAAACTTGTGAGCTTTGTATCGATTGAATATCCTCTTCAATCGTGGTCGAGCAGCTACCCTTTTATACCATACGAGCTTTCCCCAGGTGTGGAATTGTCCGTTGGTTCCGTTTTATCCCAAGTTCGTATTAAGAGCGCTTCGTTCTTGATTCGAGCTCAATCGATTCTTCGATTGAGTCGTTTGCTGCGTGACTTTGATAAACATACACCCCCCAGGGGCTTATCAAGTGGTATCAGAGCCCGGTTCAAGTCAGGGCGAGGAAGGAGGCTGTGTTTCGTGCCAAAACTCAGCCGCAAAAAAAAACAAGAAAAAAAAAATCAGAATCGATGGCAGCAGAGGAGCTAGCAGAATCGATGTTCTTCACCCGTTGTTTAATTCAGGATCAATTGTGTTTGGTTCTCATTGATGGAGGCAGGGAGAGGAATTTAATTTCCTCCAGGATCGTGAGCAAGTTAGGGCTGCAATCGCAACTACATCCAAAGCCCTATATCTTGCAATTGCCGTACGAGAAATACTCAAGTTTTGTGCTTTCCCAGGTGGCCGTGAAGTTCTCGATTGGTCAATATGAAGATCAGATATGGTGTGACGTGGTCTACAATCTCCCCAGTGGAATTATTTTGGGACAGCCTTGGTTCTATGATCGACAAGTTCGGCTGGTTAGCAGAAGGAGCAAGAAATTCCGCTTGCAGAGTCAAAGAAAGGTGTTCGTATTGAATCCGTTGGCTCCAGAAGAAGCTGCCGAAGACTTGAAGACGCTGCAAAGTATCCAGGAAGAATATCGTAAGGCTTTGCTGGAGAAGCCGTTGACGTTGAGAGGCGACCCAGTAAAGACGCTGGCCGGAACAGGACACCCCTGTTCTACTTTGACGAAATAGAGGACGCGATCGGAAGAAGTCGTCACGATGATGAAGGTTGAGTCGGGAGACGCCAAAGACACTGTCGACTTGCTTGAAGGTGAAGGAATGATTATCTCAATGCCAGACACTTTGGGAACCGAAGGTAGTGCTTCCATCCACTGCTCTGGTGACGGGAAACTCTGTTTCTCCACGATGGAGCAGAGCAGGAGAGAGAAGGGGTTGGTCGGAGCGCTCGGGGCAACATCGACCTCAACCAATGACTCCCACACATTCCCTATACCCCCAGAAATCTCTCACCTCGATCAATTGGAAACGATCCCTTCTATTTTACAGAATCACGATCGAGCTCCCAAGCCCCTGGACGCGCACAAAGAAGAAGGAAAAATGTGCGAATGGGTTAGAGCTTCTGAGAGTGAGACGAAACCAATGGCCCTTGAAGAATCATCAAATACAGTCCCAAGAACGTGTCGTGATGGTCAATTGGAGTCGAATCGGGTCGAGGCGAAAACACCCAATTCAGAAATTTCGCCCCAAAACGTGAAGCAAACAGAGACCGAGAAGGTTGAATCAGGTGGAGCGATTGGCCACGAATTAAAGCTATCGAAGACTGTTGAAAAGCTTAGAGAGGGCCAAGGAAGCTATAGGATAAGTCGAATCAGTTCGAAGATGCTTGGATTGGAAAACCCCAATTTCGAATTTGATGGTCTGTGTTCACTGTATTTGAATTCCAATGACAGCGAGAAGAATGCAGATGATGATTCGTCACTTCCCAGGAGAATTCGTAGCTTTGAATCGACGTTGGACTCCATTTCGATGGCGAATAACGCAGTACCAGGTATTGAATTGAAGGAAGGAAGCTTGGATTCGGATTCTGGGCAAAGGCAGGAGCTGGAATTGTGCGGTGAGCTGCCGGAATCTGGTAACGGAGAAAATTGTCGACTGGGCGTGATTGTGCCAACTGAAAACATGAAAGGTGCCCAATGGAGTCCTATGAAGATGCAGGAGCTGGAATTTCGCCCGAAAGAAGCAAAGGTACGAGCAGATGAAGCTGCCAATGTTATGCCGAAAATGATGTTTGAGGAGCCCTCTTTCGATCCCATTTGGGATCAATTCTGTGAACGATTTGAGCAACAAAAGGCTAAAGTGTTGAGGGCAACACTTTTTGAAGAGGGAGGGCCTGATATGATCCCAAATTGCCGACTATTCACGTTACAATTACTTGACAAAGAAGCTATCAAAGTTGGGAAGAAGAAGAGCAGAATTTGGCTAAGTCAAAATCCGTGTTCAGGGTACATACTTTGGAGGCATGGTTCTCTCAATGTCTTGGTGAAAATTCAAGTTTAAGGGTTTGTTTTGCAGATCAAGTTACCATCTTTCCAATGGTATGCTTTATGGAGCCAGATGATGTCATTAAGGTTGTTTTCCAAGGCCTCAAAGTTGCTACCTCAAAACTGGAAAACTGCCAGAAAATGGCTAAGGCAGAAAACTGTTTTGTGAAGCCTACTTTGGAGCTCAATTCAAGGAGAATGGATCTGATTCGAGACCAAAGGCTTCTACAACATGAAACTAGGTATGTTTATCTACCAAGGGAAGGAATCGGATGAAAGATCGGAGTTCTGGAAGGTCTCGAACAAAAGGCGCGAAGTTAGTACGAAAGCTGTCTTTTGACTGTTTTGCGGGCAGCTTACTTGTGCTTCAAGAAAGGAAGTTTATGGCCGAATTTAGAGTCCTTTTTAGAGTTTGTTTTTACCTTAATTGTTTCCTTGTTCATCTAGATTTGTATTAGGTTTTATTTGCCTTTAAATACCGTTCTATTTACGTTGTAAAACATAAGACTTTGATTAATCGAAAAACCTTTGGCTTTGTGCAAGTTGCGACTTGTTTGAGTTTGGTGGATTCCAAACTTGTGAGCTTTGTATCGATTGAATATCCTCTTCAATCGTGGTCGAGCAGCTACCCTTTTATACCATACGAGCTTTCCCCAGGTGTGGAATTGTCCGTTGGTTCCGTTTTATCCCAAGTTCGTATTAAGAGCGCTTCGTTCTTGATTCGAGCTCAATCGATTCTTCGATTGAGTCGTTTGCTGCGTGACTTTGATAAACATACACCCCCCAGGGGCGTATCAGGTAAGTATTCCTTTCGTTTTTTGTGTTCACTCTAGGGGGATCATGTTGTTTGGCAATAGTGGCTTGAGTTTTGGGCTAATGACTTGGTTTGAATTGTCCATTTTATTGTTTATGTTTTACCGTTTCTTTTCTAATGATGGGATAATGATTTTCCATCATATTATTATGATTTTGTTGGCCTACGGCCTACCTCTAGTCATCCCCACATATGTGTTAATGGGTAATATCAGTCAGAGTCAAAGTACCGATTTTGAAGCTACATCCGGCCAAGAGACAAGGTACTAAGTTAGTATTTTAATAGAAAAAGAATTTGCGTCGAGAGAATGATAACAAAAACTTTACACTTAAGAGTATCTAACAATTTCTCACTTGAAAATACTATAACATAAATATTTAGCATTAGGAAAAATTTTACACTAATAAAAAGTTATCAAGAAATTCCCAAGAAACAACACACACAAAAAAAAAAAATTAAGGCGGTTATTTCATTTGAAACTAGTGTTTTTAGCAAGGTTATTAAACTCATTTATACTGCTATGTCAATTTGGTAATTAGAATGACCCAGTTGATGGTATAATTGGTTTATACTAGTTCATGCTGATTTTAACAAAATATGTAGGGAAGTGAGAAATCATTAACGCACAAATAAAATTAGGCATATGTAACAATATTTGAAGACAATCTCTCTAAAATCTAAATCGATATATAAACAAAATACAACATTCCAAACAGAGTAAAAAATCCTTATATTTAAAAATGGCATCCAAAATTTTATTTTTGAATCCAACAAATAACATCAATATTTAACTTTCAAATTCAAGAAACAAGTCAAAAATAAAATTTTTAATTAAATTCACCAAAATAACATCATTTTGTTTAAAAATTGAAAATTGATTATGATGATCATACCGGAGACATTCCAACCAATTTTATAACCGGTAGCGGTTCAACCCGATTCGTGGATTAAGTCTCACAAAATTGACTTTGAGAAAAATAGATTATAATTTGAGAATAGAGTCACACATCTCAACAAGTTCAATCAACACCGCTGGTTGGATATATGTAACTAGTGAGGAAGTCGTAACCAGAGCAGAATTGGAAGTGGGAATACAAGGGATTTGGGCTCCGTACTTTGTCACTTTTCCTTCTTTTTTTTTTTCTTTCAGAAGACCCCAGCCAGCCAGCCGGGAGTGCGGAAGGAGAAAGTACACACACAACGAACAACAGAGAAGACCGGGAAATATAAAGGGTGATTAACAGGGAAAGGGGGCCGAAAAAGTAGTCTTTTGCCCTGTTTTTATCTTTGCTTCTCTCTCCCTCCTCTGCAATAAAAAGGCCATTGAAGAAGGGCAGGAATCAGTGAGAGAGATAGACACAGAGCCGAGAGAGAAATACAGAGAGAGTTATTGGACTTCCTTTTCCCTTCCCCTTCCTTTCTCTTGTTCCCTGCTTTTGAGGTCCTCTCTCTCTCTCTCTTCCTCTCTGTACTCTGTAGCCGTCTCTGCTGTCTTGCAGATTCATTTCTCGTCCCCCCACCCACGCATTTAAGTCTCCCCTTCCCTCCCTCCTGCTAAGCAAATAGCAATCCAATCCACCCCCAACCTCCCCACACTTTACTATTATTACAGTAACAACAGCTCCCTTTGGTTTGGCTTTCCCCGGCGAGTCTCGGTCTTCCATTCTTTCGCCTAGAAAAGGGTAAACAAGCAGTAATCCACTCTTCTCCTTCGATCTGTAATCCCTAACTCCCTCCAGAAAATGACATTTCAGAAAGAAACGAGGAATTTCAGGGGTGGACGAAAAAGGGGAATTTCATTTCTTCTAATTTTGCTGGGATTACGCTTTCTTTTGTCTTATTGACTGTCTTGTATATGTTTCAGATCCGCCTGGACTTGGAAGAAGAAGAAGAAGAAAAAAAAAAACGACAGACCCGTGAAAATGGTGCCGCCGCATCAGATCCAAGCGGAGTTAGCGATGGTCCCAAATTCAAACGAGACGGAACACGGCGGCGGCGGAGGAGGACTGGAAGAGAAGCAAGAAGAGCAGTCAATGGCGGGATTCAAGAACTTCCTGTGGCACGGCGGTTCAGTGTGGGACGCGTGGTTCAGCTGCGCTTCCAATCAGGTGGCGCAAGTCCTGCTCACGCTGCCCTACTCCTTCTCCCAGATGGGGATGGTCTCCGGAGTTGTGCTCCAGATCTTCTACGGTCTCGTCGGAAGCTGGACGGCTTACCTCATCAGCGCGCTCTACATTGAGTACAGAAGCAGGAAGGAGAAGGAGAATGTGAACTTCAAAAACCATGTCATCCAGGTAAAACAAAAAAAAAAATCCACCGCAATTTTTACCGATCCGCTTTTTACGGCGGTCAAAACCTTGGGCTTACTTTTCTTCTCTTTGCTGCGAGTGGACAGTGGTTCGAAGTGTTGGATGGGTTACTGGGTCCATACTGGAAAGCTGTGGGGCTTGCCTTCAACTGTACTTTCCTTCTCTTCGGCTCTGTGATTCAGCTAATTGCATGCGCCAGGTTACCCCCAAAAACCCAACCTTACTTTACCCTCATCTTCCGGCCGCCATTAATATTCTCATCCATTTAAATAGTAAAATCTCTGACGCTGGCCAACATTGTTATTGGGGAGGACAGCAATATTTACTACATAAACGACCGGCTGGACAAGAGGACGTGGACGTATATCTTCGGCGCGTGCTGTGCAACCACCGTGTTCATCCCGTCGTTCCATAACTACAGGATATGGTCGTTCCTGGGACTCGGGATGACTACCTACACCGCCTGGTACATGACCATCGCCGCCGTGGTTCACGGCCAGGTCGACGGCGTCACCCACTCCGGCCCCACCAAGCTCGTCCTCTACTTTACCGGCGCCACCAACATCCTCTACACTTTCGGCGGTCACGCCGTCACCGTGTAAGTTAAATTCGTTATTACCTTCTTTCTTTTTACCATGGAGGAATGAACGGCTTTTTTCTTTTTTTTTTTTAACCTGCGATCCAGCTGGGTGGGTAAATGGTAATTAAATTTATGTTTCCTTCTCTGGGCGTCCAAATCGGTGCTTCCACACGGCTTCTGTTTGCAGCTTTTGCCGGTTGCCTTGGGCGTCGAGAGAGAGAGAGAGAGCCCATTAGCTAGCTTTAGCTAGTAGCTAGACAACATCATTCCGATTATATAATTTTGTTCCCCGCTTTCCCCCTCCCATGTTCCGTTTTCTTGACTGATTTCTTGTCACTTTACGAGTCTTAATAATAATAGATGGGTAATTGACCAATCACTCCAGCAAATAATAATAATAATGCTAATAGTAATTTGTCTCTTCCGTTTTTGCTAATGACTATCTAAGCTGGTTTTAATCATGGAGTAGTAACAATGATTAAGTTTGAACGAATCCTAAGCCCCAATTAATTGATTGATTGATTAACTTGGGTTGGTTAATAATAATAATAATAAAAATTAACAGGGAAATAATGCACGCCATGTGGAAGCCACAGAAGTTCAAGTACATCTACTTGATAGCCACGCTGTACGTATTCACACTGACGATCCCGTCGGCGACCGCCGTGTACTGGGCGTTCGGCGACCAGCTGCTCAACCACTCCAACGCCTTCTCGCTCTTGCCCAAGAACGCATGGCGTGACGCCGCCGTCATCTTGATGCTCATCCATCAGGTAGTTAAAATTAAACGCTCCTGGTGATTAGATTAATTAAAATTAGTTGATAACAATTTGTAATCGCCGGGGATGTCTATTCATATATGTGTGGGCAGTTCATAACGTTCGGGTTCGCTTGCACGCCGCTGTACTTCGTGTGGGAGAAGGTGATCGGGATGCACGACACGAAGAGCATCTGCCTGAGGGCGGTGGCGAGGTTGCCGGTGGTGATCCCGATCTGGTTCCTGGCCATTATCTTCCCCTTCTTCGGGCCCATCAACTCCGCCGTGGGGGCCCTGCTCGTCAGCTTCACCGTCTACATCATCCCCTCCATGGCCCATATGCTCACTTACAGGAAGGCCTCCGCCAGACAGGTAAAGGCTAGCTAGCATTTCTCTCACTCAGCAGTAAGTATATATGTGCGGGTTTAGTTAGGGTAATTAAGGTTTGTTTGTGAGTGAGTGGGACAGTTGCCCGCCCCGCCACCACATTCCACAGTTGACAGTGTCTGTCCCACTCCACCCCTAATTAATGGGGGGGATTGATATGGACGCAAGTATGGTAGGCGGCATGTCCTTTTCATTCTAGTTAAGTAACATAACAATAACATTGCTGCCTGCTAACATAGTTGCATTCTCCTAGTTACATTACATACAGATAGATAGAGATACAGTACATCCGATCCTTCTTCTGGGTTTGGGGGTTGGGTTGGAAATATATATGCTGCTTAGGTTACCACTCCTGTCTCAGTCCGTTTCGTTTCGTTTTGTCTTTTTGGTAAACAATAATAATAGAGGTCGAGGACGGAGACGAGTGAGAGTGAATGTTGGTTGCGGGCTCACCAATTATTAGTGGAAGCAGCCGCCGCCGCCGTCCTATTTTCCAATCCTAGCTAGCTAGCTAGGAAGTAGGAAGAGGTCAGTCAGTCAGTGAGTCCGTCGTCCTATTTTCATAGACTTATACTTTTTTGTTTTTTTTGTTGATTGTTTAATTTGCAGAACGCCGCGGAGAAGCCCCCCTTCTTTTTACCGAGCTGGACGGCGATGTACGTGGTGAACGCGTTCGTGGTGGTGTGGGTTCTGGTTGTCGGGTTCGGGTTCGGCGGGTGGGCCAGCGTCACCAACTTTGTAAGGCAAGTCGACACTTTCGGCCTCTTCGCCAAGTGCTACCAGTGCAAGTCTCCCGCTCCCCTCGCCACCGCCGCCGCCGCGCCCTCCGCCGCTCGCCATCACTGAATCCAAACTAGGAAACAAACTCAGCTTTTTTTTCCCTCCCTCCCATATTTTGTAACATACATGGGGGATGAATCATGAGTATATTATCTTATTAGCCCCCCCGCCCCCGCCCTCACCCTCCTTCCTTACTACATGTGATGTGTGTTGGATTTTCTTTTTTCTTTCTCCTTTTTTTTTTAGTTGAAATTAATTAGTTTGATAATTTAAACATACTAGTGTGTTGAATTTGTGATGATCCATGATGATGATGATGATGTGATTCCTTTGCTTCAAAAGCATTGGCTACCTGTCACGTTAAAATTAGACTATTTCAGAAAAACTAAACTATATTGAAATGTTCTTCTTGCCTAGTGTTGATTGATTTACATTCATTCTTCCTTCACCTCCTTTGTTCCACTTATTTTTTCCTATCTTCTCCCGGCAGCTACTGAGTTTATACTGTGCGTATACGGACGCCGCAGCATGTACAAAGCTACGTGAACAAATATATACTATAAAACTGAGGTGGGGTTGGGTTACTGGGTACAGAGTAGAATGGAGCAGCAGCGGCGAAGCCTCTTTTGCAAGTAATAATTACGAGCCATGTTCCCAAAGCAAAAGCGGCAAGTGGGGAAAGAGGCGTGATGCTTTTGTTGCAACTAGTCCATCGGTTAAATATGATGGACAAGAATGACCGGTATGGGTTGAAGAATGGGCCAACATAGGAGCATCCACATAAAAATCGGTCATAAATGATGGTCCTTGTGTAGATAAGCCAAGTCCTCCCTACACAAGTGTGACATGGATGTGTCATGCATGGAAGATTTGGAGTCAGTGAGTAGTGAAGATGTCGATGACGGAGAATTGCACCCCCCACACCTTAATACACAATGGTACTACAACATCCCTTCTATGCTGACAGTGGCGATCCGGATTGCCCTCCTATACCCATATGGAATTATAATACAGGTTTGTAGTTGGAAAACATGTAGAGGAAAACCACATGTTGTGGATGCGTTGAAAGAATATGCGATACATATAGCTTTCAATATCATGTCATCGCATCGAACACTAAACCGTCTGCTGTGAGAACTATGGAGACGACTGCATGTCACATGTGTTGAGATGCATATATTAAGAGGCATGGGGTTGGCTTTTTCATAAGGTGGATAACATCCACACATGTAATTTGTCAATTCTTTCTCTTGATCATAGGGAGTTAAATGCAAGGAAAGTTGCACAAATGATCAAGCATCTAGTTGAGGCATAGCCTATGATCACTATAAAGGTTGTCATTGAAGTAAAGAACTGATATAGATACAGTATAAAGTACAAGAAAGTATGACATGGAAAACAAAAGCAATGGTAGAGTTTTATGGTGATTGGGTTGGGTCATTTGCTTACCTACCCTGATTATTCTTGCATTTGTTTACAAAAATCCCATGATAAGTTTTTGTGCCCCAATACTAGGATCTGCAGGGGAAAATAAGTTTTTAATAAACTGTTTGGGCATTCAAACCATGCATTGATGTTTCGACCACTGTCTGCCAGCAATCTAAGTAGATGATACCTTTCTGATGGGCAAAGACAAAAGCCCTCTACTCATTGCCACAATATTTCCACCTTCATTTGTTGTATTTATCGGATAACAACTCTGATTGGTCATGATTGTTCCTCCAACTATACACTCGGAGAAGTACTACTTGTAAAACCTGAAAGTATATAGACAAGATGAAGAATATAAGAGAGGTCCTCCATGAAGGTGCAGATTGGCTAGAAAATCACGATTTTGAGAAGTGGACATTATACCAGGACGGAGGGTATAGGTATGAAATAACAAATATGAACATTGGGTATGAGCCTCAATGGTATATGTTGTTGGTCTTGCCAATATAAACGTTGGATTCTACACCCTACAGAAGAAAACAGATGACATACGTTCATGGGGGATAGGTCCAACTTGCATTATAAGGTGACTTTGTTTAGTCGAAAAAATGACCCCTACAAAGTAGAAACAGGAAGGCCAATTGGGAACACAATATAAGGAAATGCTCAAGCGGTCACAAATTATGCAGTGAATGGAATAGGAGAGTGCACTTGCGGGAAGTATCAAGGGAGATATGTTTTTGCTCTCATGCCTAAGTCACTGCCAAATGCGTTCACATCAAACCACTATAATTTGTTAGTCCATACTACAAGGCTATAAGTTTCATCAACATTTGGCAAGGGTCATTCGTGTCTTTAGCTCATGAAACTTATTGACCAGTACGCATGACAGGAGGAATTTCCCACGACCAATAGTAAACAATTGATACTTATGTTGTTCTTTCGGGAATATGTTGTTTTTCACTAGGGATATGTGTATGTTTCATAAAAAATATGTCGTTGTTATGTTGTAATGAGTATGTTGTTTTTTCTTTCTGACTATGATACGATATTTTCAAATAACAACAATTTGAAAAAACAAGCTAAAATCAATAAACAAATTTGAGAGATAGATTCAAGATGAAAAAATAACAATAAAATATGAAGTTGTCATAAAAAAAGAAACAATTGCCAAGCCTAATCAAAATAACTCTAGAAAATAAAAGAATATCTATAGTCACACCTCTCCCGCAACATTTCCCCCTTACTTGTCCTCGTCTATCTCCCCAGTCCCTACGCTTGTAACGAACTCGATGTGCAACTAGAGTCACATGTTAGAGAAGAAGTGGAGATGATATTGCAGTGGACGAATAGGGACTGTAGATATTGCTTTTCGGATGTTTGATGCTTGGTTGCAAGGTTTGAAATTGGCCAAATTGGAAAACAAATAATAAGAGAGAGATGAGCTTTATGACCCTCTTCTGAATTATTGGGTGGGCGGTGCTGAGCTTGATGATCATCCCCTGAATTCCCTTGTGACATGCTAAAGTTGGTACTCGTACGAGGCTGAAATTGACACCTTTTATTGTACTTCCACATGTATTTTTACTTCCTCGGGGCTACGTTTACTTCTCCTTAGTGGTGATAGAGAGAGGGGTTGGATATCAATTACGTGGGAGGAAGAACGTGATGGTGCATGTGCTGGCGATGATGTCCCTTAGATGTTCTCGTGTACACAACAAGATATTCTTGAAGAATCTCCACAAGAAGGACATTTTTTCGAGTCCTATTGTGGGTTCCCTCTCCATAGCCGCACTCGCAATTTCCAACATATCAACGTAGTTCACAAACATGGTAGTTAGAACATATCTTTCTCGAATAAAACAAATAAGATATAAGTTAAATGCATGCTTACCAACGAACCAATCACAACACCATGTTTGGTTACCCATGTTTGGTGAACTTGCAATACCAAATCATGTACTCGTCTTTGGTATCCCATTAGCCTCATCGTTTGGGTGCCATCAACTTTATGTCTCACTTGATTGTTCTGTATACCAATCCAAGGATGGTGCATAGATATATAGTTGATGATGGTGTCCCGCATATCCTATCTGTATTTGCAGAGACCTTTAAACCCCTTAGGCGGTGACAAAGGAATTGGATGTTGCCACTGATATTCTCGGACGCATCTATTCAGGAGGTGCTAATCAACAATCTTGAAGCAAATGAGAGGCACCTTCATGACCAATATTGATGTTCCTCAGGGCTCCACAATCCATAGTTACTGGTCCATAAGGATAAGGATCCCAATTTACCTACAAATAATATTATGTTGAATTAATGTACTTATCTTTTTTAAGGGGATTAATGTACTTATCAAAATCAATAAGTTCAGGAAAAAGTAAGTTCTGGTGGGAGAATACCAAGTTAAACTCCACGTAGTTAAGATGTTCGCAGTACTGTCCATGAGTGTTCAAGCACTCTCAAGAAAGCTCCATTCCACTTAGCATCATAAGGCGCTTTCCTTAGTTGCTCACCGAGAGACTAATTGTTGACAGCGAAGTATGGTGCGAAAGATGGTATGTGCTCCCTAACCCAGAGTTTGCCGATGAACATGGACCATTACCTTGCTTTGACTTTAGATCCGTACATTTTTACAACTCCACCTACACAGTCACTAAGCCAGCCGCTTCCCAAATTTTTTTGTCCCATCTCCTTCTGATCTCCTAATATATGCGAGCATACCTCTCCCCCTACTTGTCTATGGCATCCTCTCGTAGAACACCATCGGTGCTCACTAGCCAAGGCTTTCACATCATAGACTTGTCCATTTGTGGTTTCTAGCGGCCTTCTGATAAATGGCAAGAGTGTACACCAAAAGAGCGATTAAGGCAAACAAGGGCCTTAGACGAGACAGGAGGGGATGACTTTTTATGTTATGAAAAGAACAAAAAAGAATGTGTGAGATACGGAATCACTTTTTCTAATTCTTTTTTTTCTTCTTAATTGCACGCTATAACATTCGATTTAAGTCGGAATTTGAAATTTTTTCATAGAAGAACGTATTCATTAGGATCTACTATGATATCCAATTTGCTATATTTTGAGCAAAGAAAAAAAAAAACTCTTGAAAATATGTGTCGGTTGTAGTATTACCACTATCATATCTATCATATCAACATGTTTGAACTCAAAAATTTAAAAGAAATTATATAGAAAGAACGCATTAATTAGCATTTAAATAACGAAATTTATTTTGTTAGTTTTGTCACAACATAAGACCTTATACCTACATCATATCAACGTTATATCATAATATTATCATAGTACCATTGTAATAATAACATGACATAACACTGATATGAAGTCATCAAATTATTTTGTCAAACGTAAAAAACCTTATACTAACACCATATCAATATCATATATACCACCAACAT